TTTGTATTTATTTATTTCCCACACATAGTGCATGATGTGGTCACTTTATTTATTCCTATTGTCTGGTTATATGAAATTTCTTTTTTACATTCACACGTTTTCTCATAATTTCACTATTATTTACAAGTATCTATATTTTTATCCTAATGTTTCCCAGGTGGTTATAAAAGAAGTAGAAATATAGCAATCTTTAGTCATTTCTTATAAAACCTCAATTTCCTTCCTCCAAATTTCCTATTAGCCAAATATGCGTTTCTTCAAAATAATTGAAGAGCTATATACACACCTGTCTCCCTGCATTCAGAATACCTTTCTATCTAGTGAGAGGCATTAGAGGCAAAAGAAAAGGCAAGGAACAGCGCTTGTTCCCAGGTCTTTGGTGAAAATATCTTCTGGCCAGGATTAGGATGATGTGTTGACAATTTGGCTGTATCTAAAATAGCTGCTCACCCGACCGGCGCCCTCTGGTGGTGAGAGGATACCTCCCATTCCCCCCAACACCATTCCCCAGTGGGATGGTTGTGGGTGAAAGCATGTCACCACACCTGGGCCCTGAGTACCTACTGGCTCCTAGAGGCTTGATTCTTCCTTTACCTTTCCTTCCTTTATTTTCCTTTCCTTTTTATTTTCCTGTCTTTTTTTTTAATACCTTGTACTCATTGCTGATTTAGGCCTTTACAAAGGAAGCCATAGGAAAAAGACAAGAATGATGACAGTGTTGGCATGATGACTTGTCACATAAAATGTGATTCAGTCACAAGAGAGTATCAGTGGTTCTTGAAAACCAGTTGTGATCACTCACTGGCCATTTGTCATAACTATAAAACAAAACCTGAGCTGAAATGAATGATTTTGTCCCACTAGAAGAAAATATTTATTCAATATTATAATTGATAAATGGTAACTTAGGGCAACTGTGAAGAATTCTTTACAAGTTAACATTAGAGTCAACACCTTTAGAAGATAATGTAAATTTCATTCTGTCTCAAGTTAGAGGTGAACAAAGATGACCATTCAAATTCCTCTTTACTCACCAAATTCTGAGTCTTGTGTATAAATACAAGTGTTTCCAGAAAAGAAGTCAGTGTAATATTTGTCTTGCCATGAATGTCTCAGATGTTATAGCAGCATTTCACTTAATGTTGATCTGTGGTATGAAAAAGTTTATCGCCTCTCTAAACATGTCTAGCTTTTGTCAATTCAGTTGAACAATTTGCACTGGGTAACACCTGAATATAATTTCTCAGAAAAACAGGAAATATGGTTAGCTGTACTGGCTTACTGATAACTTCCAAAAAAAGGAACCTTCCTACGTTGACTCTATGAGGAGTAAATTACTGCTCCTGTAGTTATCAAAGATACAGTGTGGATTCCACAGAAAAGCCTAGGTAAGAACAAGATATTTAATTAAATTGGGTTGAAAAAATTTATAAACTATCATTATTCACCTCATCAAACTTACTTTGTATGATCAAATATAAGACAACTGAGAGAAACACCTAGAGCCACTCAGTGACACTGCAATAACTTTTCTGGGTTTCTGCTCTAGACAATCCTCCTTCACACAGTCTGGATAGTCCTTTAAAAATGTAAGTCAGGAGGCTGAGGTGAGTGGATTGCCTGAGCCCGCGGGTTCGAGACCCGCCTGGGCAGCGAGACCTCATCTCTACAATAAATCAAAAAATCAGCCGGGCGTGGTAGCGCATGCCTGTAATTCCGGCTACTTGGAAGGCTGAGGCGGAAGGATCGCCGGAGCCCAGCAGGTCGAGGCTGCGGTGGCCGGGAGCGGCCACTGCACTCCAGTCTGGGCGACAGAGTGAGACTCCAACTCAAAAAAAAAAAAAAAAATGTAAGTCAGCTGGGTGCGGTGGCTCATGCCTGTCATCTCAGCACTTTGGGAGGTGGAGGCAAGAGGATTGCCTGAGCCCAGGGATCGAGACCAGACTGGGTAACTTGATGAGAACTCATTGCTACGATAAAAATCAAAAAATTAACTGGGTGTGGGAGCATGCACCTGTAGTTCCAGCTACTTGGAAGGGTGAAGTGGAAGGATCACCTGAATCCAGCAGGTCGAGGCTGCAGTGGCCGTGAGCATGCCACTGCACTCCATCCTGGGCAACAGAGTGAGATTCCAACTAAAAAAAAAAAAAAAAAACCCAACCCCAAAGCACATAAGTCAGGACCATTGCCTTGCTAAGCCATAGTCTGACCATGTGGTTCCTTGAGCCATGATCTCCATGTTTCCTAGCCTTGGCCCCCTCCCGTACCTTGGGGAGGTGAATCTCCTCTGTCTCACTCTCTAATTTACTTTTTAAATAAACTATAGTTTCCAATCTTAAAAAAAAACAAGTCCGGTCATGTCAATCTGCTCTCAGCCATTCTTGGCTTATATCAAAGTCCTCACTTGGCCTGCAAGGTCTTACATGAGATAACACTGGCTACCTTCCCAACACCATTTCCTAACAGAATCCTCATAACTTATTAATGTCTAAATAAATATTATAACAATATAATAAACTCTCCAATATCTGTGCTCTGGAATACAATAGGCATGTTCCTCTCTAAGGCTTTGTTGTATTTGCTGTTCCCTCTGCTTGGAATGCTCTTCCTCCCAGATGGTTACTTAATTTGTTCCTTCACTTCATACAGATCTGCTTCTGTCAGTGTCCCTGTAGGAAACAGAATCCACCTCGGACCATCACAGGAAGAAAAAATAATGAAGAAACTTTTACAAAGATGTGCTCAGGATTAAGAGAAAAACAAAAGCTGTGAAGTCCCTTAGAGAGTAGAAAGAGGAGGAAGCTCATGTCACTCCTAGGTCTGAGGGGACAGGAAAGGAAACAGTGTTACTGCAGCCCAGTGAGAGCCAGAGATGTGGGGAAGGGGACACGAGAGGAAATCGAAAGAGGGTAGAAGCAGAAGGGAGTAGGAAAGAAACACCCTGCCCCAATCTTTTTCTTCTTCTTCCTCAGATATCCTATGGGTGCCAAACCTTGCTGGGAGCCAGCAGTGGAGAAACACAGGCAAGATCACCCTCGTAAGTCAGCCTCCCTGGGCCGAAGCAAGGCAGGGAAAGGCAGACATTGGATTTGGTGGACAAATGGAGAATGGCCAGGACACAGGCTCTACTCCAAAGGTTACCTCCCAAGAAAGATTTTCACTGATCAATCTATCAAACAGTTCCTCACACACACTATTCCTTAGCCCAACTGCATTATGGCACTTGTTATAACCTGACATTATATTGTATTGTTTGTTTATTTGCTGTCTCCCTCACTAAAGTATTAATATCAAATCAACAAAAGGCTGGCATTTTATCAATTGTATTTGTAGCTGTATCCCTACATTTTAAAATAACTCCTGCCTAATGAATTCAATGTTTACTAAATGAGTGAATACATTTAATACTCTTTGCCAATCGAAAGTATTCATGCTTAATTGAAATCAGAATAATAGCCGGGCTCGGTGGCTCAGCCTGTTATCCCGCGCCTTGGGAGGCTGAGGTGAGTGGATTGCCTGAGCCCGTGGGTTCGAGACTCGCCTGGGCAACTTGGCAAGACCTCATCTCTACAATAAATGAAAAATTAGTCGGGCGTGGTAGTGCGCGCCTTAGTTCCAGCTACTTGGAAGGCTGAGGTGGAAGGATCGAGGGAGCCCAGCAGGTAGAGGCTGTGGTGGCCGGGAGTGACCACTGCACTCCAGTCTGGGTGACAGAGTGAGACTCCAACTCAAAAAAAAAAAAAAAATTAGAATAATACAATAAAATCCAAAGCATCAGTAACTAAATTATTCATTCATATTCCAGCCCTTTCTATGCTCTAAATTAGCTTCCTTGTCAACTTACCCTGTAGAATAACACAAATAAATTTACTCTTTCTTTATAATAAATATAGATGTATGCGCACATCATGCTTCATGAAGTTTTCTTCCATACATAAAAATATAGAGTAACAGAATCTCAGAATTGGAGTAAACATTAAAATTCAACAAACTCTGTACTCAATACATGGCCATTCTCTGCAACGGTCCTGTCCTAAATGGTAGGTAGTAAAGAATGCAATACCTTCCCCAAATAACATACGTTCAAAGTAATTACAAGTCTTTACATATTTCTTTAGTCAAGATGTTATATTTATTAAAATATTTTAATAATGTTGAATGCAGATATGAGATTGTTTTGTTACTCAAAGTAGGACAATAACTAATAAACATAGGCAAATAATGTTCAATGCTGTCCAACTTACATTTTTATCTATCTTCCCAACTGCAGTGATAGGGCACTCACTCTCAAGAACTGGTAACTTTGAGACAACTCATTATTATAAAGGTTTGGGGTTTTTTTTTATTTTTTTGCCTTATGTTAAAAAAAAACAAAAACTATTATATCTCTTTAGATCATCCTTTCTTTCTTCCAGACTCAATAACCACAGTTCATCAGACAAAACTTCACATGTCATCTTTTTTGGAAAGATTCTCATTCTAGATGTTTTCCTTTGAATATGGCCTAGTCCCAAAACCTTCCCCTTAAAGTCTAGACTTTAGAACACAATCCTTTAACCTGGGTGTGGCCAGTGCAGCACAGGGGTTATCTTTCCTCCTCACCTGAACATTTTATTTTCCTTAATACAAATTGAAACTACAAGTTTTACTTTTTTCTCCCATGGCCACAATACATTACTGACCTGCACTGACCTATTTTTTTTTTTTTTAAATGCTGTTCAATCATGTTTGTCAAAGCAATTAGCAAAGTGCACATTTGTTCTTGTGCTTAATCTGTCATCACAAAGGCTGTTCGGGTTTTCCAAAATGAAGTAACAAATGCTAACACAGGCACAATGGACCAATATAATGATTGCTAAGAGACAGAATCCAGTCAACAGAAATGAGTCATTCGCATACCTAACTCCCTCAAGAAGATGCTCTTTCAAACATGTCAGCAAGGAGGGCAGGAATTACTCTGCTGATGACATTCCACCAAATAACAGTCACTGAGGACTTACCTGCAGCAACTATGATGATATCTGCCAGTTGAGTATGGATCTTCAATTGTTCTTTCGGGGTATATCTGTGAGCTATTGTCACAGTTGCATCACCTGGAATGCAGAAGAATTTCCATGAATGATCACTGAGCTTTTTCACATTTTACAAACACTCTCAATCTAGAAGAGTTTCAGTTATTTCCTAAAAGTAGAAAATAATGCTTTGACATGACTAAGTCACTTTCAGAATGAAAGCTAGATAAAGAAATCCAGATAAACTAAAAAATTACACTCTTCAATTGAATGAATGGAAAACCACATGAGGCCAAATGAGGGGAAGTGCTGAGGGTCATAGGAGAGATAGAAGTAGGGTCCTGGTCGGGCTCGGTGGCTCAGCCTGTAATCCTAGCACTTTGGGAGTCTGAAGTGAGTGGATTGCCTGAGCCCGCGGTTTCAAGACCTACCTGGGCAACTTGGTGAGACCATGTCTCTATAATAAATAAAAAATTAGCTGGACGTGGTAGTGCATGCCTGTAGTTCAGGTTACTTGGAAGGTTGAGGTGGAAGGATCACCGGAGCCCAGCAGGTCGAGGATGCAGTGACCAGAAGCATGCCACTGCACTCCAGTCTGGGCAACAGAGAGAGACTCCAACGACCCCCCCCCCAAAAAAAAGAAGAAGAAGTAGGGTCCTAGGATCCCAGAATTTGAAAATCCTATGTTGACTTGTCTAGGGAATACTCATTGGTCTGATAATGACAAGCAAATAAACACTAAAAACAATAAGATAAGTGCACCAAATGGGACAACATATCGTGGGAGCCCAGGTGCAAGATTAATTCTATCTTGAGGTGGTGTCAAGGAACAGTTCCTACAGAGGCAATAGGTTTTTTAGGACTTAAAGCATGAGCAGGAGTGTTCTGATCAAGTAAGGAAGAAAAAGGCACCCCAAGTTAATGGAATAGCCAGAAAACAATGAACCAACTTTGAAATTATGTGTTTAGAAAATAGGGACGATTTTTTGCCATAGTTCTAGTAGATAACAGGAAGTTTTTGTATGAAAACTTTAACAGAGGGACAGATGAATAAGAGGTAAGCAGCCTGAGAGATTCCAATGTTTCAGGTGTGAGCCAAGGAAGAGGAGTGAGGGGAAGACAGCGATGGAATGCGGCCCAGACAGAACCTCTAGTAAAAACATAGGTATGTGAGACTGGATCTTTTTTCTTCTCGTGGAAGATGTGCAAATATTACACAGTTAACAACAACAATGGCATAATCTCCATTTTTAGAAAAACTAGAAAACATACTTTCCACAAACTCCAAAAACATGTAAGAGTTAGTGAAAGCAGTAGTTAGTAGATATTACACAGGGAGAAAGGCAGAAAAGAAATGCAGAGAATGACAAGATGATCAGCAGCAGCAGATGTCTGAAAATGACTATAAAAATATACTGCTATGAAGAGTTTATGCCCAAATGCCAACAAATATAGCTTCTTAGCTGAAGCAGAGAGAATATTATAAAAATAAAGAGTCCTCTTGGAGCTATTGTTCAGAGTGAGTGGAAACACAATCATAAAGAGGAGTCATTTCAGCAGGAGGCAGTCAAACCCTTAGAAAACAGAAAAGGAATCAGAAGGCTGTTGGCATATCCCCCCAAGCCCGAGCAGTATTTCCCCAGCAGGAGTATCCTGCACATGGTAGATCTAAGAATAGCCAACTCTTTCAATGATGAAGAATAAAAGTGGATGCCATGCAGCATCAATAAAAGGACACTATATGAAGGTCAGCCCAGGGGAATTTGGGGAGTGAGGAAGCTGTCCTGATGCTTAATGGTGACTAGACCGTTCTAATAGATGACTACATGTATTTGTTCAAATTAATGAAACTGTACACCATAAAGAGTGAATTTTAGTATAAAATGTTAAATTCAGCCGGGCTCGGTGGCTCAGCCTGTAATCCCGCGCCTTTGGGAGGCTGAGGTGAGTGGATTGCCTGAGCCCACGGGTTTGAGACCCACCTGGGTAGCAAGACCTCATCTCTGCAAAAAATAAAAAAAATCAGCCGGGCGTGGTAGCACATGCCTGTAGTTCCGGCTACTTGGAAGGCTGAGGCGGAAGGATCGCCGGAGCCCAGCAGGTCGAGGCTGCGGTGACCGGGAGCAGTCACTGCACTCCAGTCTGGGCGACAGAGTGAGACTCCAACTCAAAAAAAACACAAAAAAACAAATAAAATGTTAAATTCAAAGATACATTTTAAAAAGTGGCAGAACCATGGAAAAACAAGACAAAAGGAAAGCTTAAAAAAAATTAGGAATTTTTCAACACACCAATAAACTCTGCAAAAAATTTTATTATGAAAAAGTTGATCACGATGAACAAATATTATACCACAATGTTTTAAAAGTAGAACTTAGGATTATAAAAACTAGGGGAAAAAAGACAAATTCATTCAAAATGACCTATAATGGTCCACACTGAGACATATTTTGGTAAAGTACTAGATTTTAAAGATTAAAAAAAAAGAATCCTATGAACAACTAGACAAAAATTCAGATTTCTACATTCAATTCCAGAAAATAACAGAGCAATACCTACAACAGACACATGTAAAAAAAAGTGAAAGTTAAGAATTGTGTAGCTAATCAAATTGGCCTCTAAGATGAAAGCTGCAAATAATTTTAAAAATGCAAGACTTATCATTCCCATAAGTCTTCCTGAGAAACACGCTAAAAGATACACTTTATTTAATGAAATTATGTCTGAGGAAACAGGCAAGAGAACTGTTGGGAAGTTTTAAATATAATTAAAAAACGAAAACTTTAACAAATTGTGAGGCCGGGAGTGACAGACAGCTCTGGTTTGAATGTTTGTCCCCTCCCAAACTCATGTTAAAATTTAATTGCCACTGCAACAATATTAAGAGGTGGGACCTTTAAGAGCTGACTAGACTTTGAAAGGTCTACCCTCATAAACAGAGTAATGCTTTTACTGCAGGGGTGGGTTTGTTATTGTAGGAGTGGTTCCTTATAAAAGGATGAGTTTGGCCCTTTTTGTCTTACTCTTGCCCTTTCTTTCCCTTCTGCCTTCCCCTGTGGGATGACACAGTGAGAAGGTCCTCACCGGATCCTGACACCTTGATCTTGAACTTACAGCCTGCATCTAACAAAATTAGAATGGGAAGGGGAAATATGAGAACATTTGCTGATTACCTCATATATAAATCAACAAATATCATTTCAATACCATTTGTTAAATAATTTAACAAAAAGTATGAGAATATTTAAAACAATAAACACTATGAAAAATAATTTTTATTGGCAAATATCAAGTAGGAGACAAAAGAAATGAAATCGAGAAGGAAATGAAAACCTTGCATAATTTATTTTATTAGAGTATCAATAAATATCCTATAAGGGACTAGAGAATTAAGAGTATTACATAATGTTATAATTATTAAGGTAACCAAAAATCCTCCTAAGTAACAGAAAACCATGCCTAAAAAAAGTGAAAAACAAAAAACATAAAAATAATAAACAGCACAGAAAATAGTATAAAAATTCCTCCCATATATATTTATCATAAAAATAAAATTTCCTAAGTAATCTATCTCAAAGAATAATTTCAAATTAACTGACAAAGCAAAACCTAATTATATACTCTACTAATTCTAACTATATACATATAACATTATATATATACATATATATGTATATATATAACTCTCTATATGTAACACACCTAAAACAAAGTAATGCAGAATTGAAAAATGTTGAAAACAAAATATAGGTAAACATATAGCAGGAAAATGACAAAAAAGAGATAAAGATATTATTATCAAACAAACAAAAAAAACCCTCAGCATTAAACAGGACAAGGAGATACACATTCTAAAGTAAAGGGGGGATTCAAATAAAGATCAAACAATAATAAATAGAAGTAACAAATAAAGGAGAAAACTTCTATAAACAGAAATTAATGGAGGTTCAAATAGAAATAAAAAGCACATTGTAGTCACTGAATTTAATTCAACTTTCTCAATTTATTGCAGGTCGAGGATATAAAATGCAAATAAGATAATTAATATCTATCTGATTATAACATATACAACTCTGAAAATAAATAATACATTTTCTTTTCATGTACTCACAGAACATTTTTTAAAATGGTATTATTGTGACTATAAAAAATTTTTTATTAACATCAAAAATAGTTAGATAGACTATAATTTTCTTTGATCACAACTCAATAAAGTTATAACTATTGACAAATTTAGTAATAAAAACCCTTCTATTGGAAGTTTTAAATAGTAGTATCTTAAACAATTCTTGGGTTTAAAAAACTACAGAAAATTTGCAAGATTTCTAGAAAGATTTATAATAAAAGAACTTTATATTACATCCTGTAAAATAAATAAAAAGCAATGCTTAGAAACAATTATAAACCTAAATTATTATATCAAAAAACAAAAATAAAATAAATGAATCATTTAACTTAAAAAGTTAAAGAACAATACAAGGAAGATAAGAAATTATTAAAAAATCAATAAACAAAAGTCAAAATGTATCTTATAAATATCTGAAAATTGGAATACTATTACAAATATTGAGAAAATTAAATAACTAGGTAAAAAAATTAATATACAGAAGTATATTGATTAGCTTTTTATGAAACATCTTAAAAGGTTTATTAGACAAAAGGACCCCATTATAATAGCAGCAGAAAAAATAAAAATTTAGAAATAAGATTAATATGGCCGGGCTCGGTGGCTCAGCCTGTAATCCTGCGCTTTGGGAGGCCGTGGTGAGTGGATTGCCTGAGCCCGCGGGTTCGAGACCCACCTGGGCAACTTGGCAAGACCTCATCTCTACAATAAATCAAAAAATTAGCCAGGCGTAGTAGTAGCATGCGCCTGTAGTTCCAGCTACTTGGAAGACTGAGGCGGAAGGATCGCCGGAGCCCATCAGGTCGAGGCTGCAGTGGCCGGGAGAGACCACTGAACTCCAGTCTGGGCAACAGAGTGAGACTCCAACTCCAAAAAAGAAAAAGAATAAATAAAATAAGATTAACAAAAAATGTGCAAAATCTATGTATTCATAGTAAAAGAAAATCTCTAGAAC